CTGTAGTCCAGTCATCTTCATTGCCACCTTCTACTTCTTACTGTCTGTGGTTGGCATCCACGGTCACACCCTTACTACTGCATAATTTTAAGTCCTGAAACAATTGAAATGGGTAAGTTATTAAAAAACTCAAAACCTGTGCAGTTTTCACAAATTTGGGCTTCAGGTATAGAGATTAAAACTGTTTTCATAACCCTATATAAATGTGTTTATTTCTGCTGTAAAGTTGGACCTTTTAACATGGGAGTCTATGTGGAGACTCACTGTAGGAGCCAGCCTCTAGTGGCTGCTAGAGGGACTGCAGCTACTGGAATTATTTTCCTCTCTTATTTTTGATTTATTTGTTTTATGTATTTTTTCTGTGTGATGTGCAGCTTAAAAATTTTAAAGGAGCGAATTTCAATTTTCTGTCAAAACATATTTATAGAAAACACACACACACAAACATACAGAAACACACAGACAGAAAAAAAATCAATTCAGGGCACCATCATGCAGCTTGATTGCAATTAAAAGCTGTCCTCCTCTGGGCCCAGGGCTAATAGTATGAGACAGTATTGATCAGTAAATGTAAGAGTAGACTGGATCAACATCAGTGTCAGTCAATATTTAAGAGTGACAGCGGGAATTCATACAGAAGGAAGAAACGCGCAGGAGCTGGATGGCAGACACACTTCAGAAATCAGCAGATTCTAATGTAAACAGAAGTGGAAAACTCATCTTCTGCCTTTTGCACCTTTTCCCTGTTTTATTTTCCTCTACACCATCTAATAAGTTGAAATCTTGTCATTTCTTTCCTCTGTTTCCAATTCACTCTCTGCCTCCTTTACTTTAGGGTTGCAGGAATGTTTCATCACTCCCATCTCGACCTTTGACCTTCCCAATTAGTGGCTTGTAAAGTTAGAGAGTGGCGAACGCAGTCTTGTATGCAAGTCTAATAGATGTAAAATGCAGAAGTAGAGGAAGGTTGAAAATTTCTCCCTTAATGATAGTGATATACTCCAGAGGATTCCCTCCTCACCCGCTCATTTTTCCGCATGCGTAATTGTCCAGGCGGTTCACGGCACATTATCAAATTCATCAGCTAATCATTTAAGACCCCCTCTTTTATCTGCGAGAAGGTCCGCGCATGATCCGATGGCGTGCCGATCGATAGGAAAATCGAGATATGCAAAGCGCGTTCTGATGTTTGGCATCGCTCAACCTTTGGCGCTTTTATCTCTGCCTTTTGATGTTGCTTTTAATCTGCATAACGCCGCGTGAGTGGATGATAGAAGCGAGCGTCTCCTCCACTGGAGAGGACTCCTCCGATGGAGTCCACCTGTCAGGGCAGAGGGAAGTTTCAAAAAAAGAGATTCAGGAAATGAGGAGCTGATTTTTGGTTAGGGGAGAAAAAAAATGTCAGAAAACGGTGAAAAAATGCAGGTCACGGGTTCAACATGAAACCTTCAGATGTCTTCTTCAGTCTCGCCACAAGTCCAAACCCAAGAAATCTTTAATGTCATGATAGAAAAGAAACAAATGCTTACATTTGGCATCCTTGAACCATAATTGCAGTGTTTGTTTTTGTTATATTTAATTATAATATTGAATAGATACTTGCAAATGCTTTAATTTGAAATTGGTAGCTTTATTTTGAAAGGAGAAATTGAGTCAATCCTTGTTTACAGATCTTTGTAATGTGCCTGAAAAGGTAAAGCCATTTCTTATGTTAGACACGAAATAACCTAGTTGGAAAATGGTAGCTCCACACATTTGATTTGGCAGGTTTTTAAATGTAAATTTTTTTAACACGAGATATCATTCCAGACGCAGTCCCAAAGGGATTTGCATCTCTCTTCCTGGATCAAACCAGGATCTTTCACTTATTAGGTGACAAGGAAGACCACCCTGCAATGAACCCTCGGCTAACGAACCACATTAAGACAGTTAAAATTTGTTGGCAGCTCTGATTTGGACACACGATTTCACAAACTTGTACTTTAATTGTTCAAGCAGATTGCAGGATTGCTCAAGTTTTGACAATCAAGAATGTATAATTAATAGAAGATTATGTAATTTCACAACTTTTATATACTCACACACATTCAAGAAGCCTTAAAAGAGCTTCTGATTAACCCCGTCCATTGTCTCCATTAAAAATAAATGCTGTCTTGTGCAGACAAATAAATATTAATTGAATAAGTCAGGTAAAAACACACAGTTTCATCAAAGAAAAAGTTTAGTAATTTACCAAAACAGCTGATCACTGTAGTTTACACTTAATCAAAATGAAGTAGTGCATTTGGACTATTTATAAGTACTATTTTCAGTAGCAGATTAATACATGTGTTATTCTGTAGGCAGTGAATTTCATTATTAGTAGTTTTTTGGTCTTTCTGTTGGATATTATCAGTTTGATAGGGCTTAAACCCCAGGTGTCAAAAATAAGGCCTGGGGGCCAGAGTCAGTCCAGCAAAGGCTTTGGAAAATGGGATAAATTTTAAATTTTTACTCTATTTTCTAAGGTTTTACAACTTTTATCTTCTTATAAACACTTCCTTCATGTCCATTCAGACTACACTGAAGTAAACAATTGATAGATAAACAATTAAAAGGCAGAAAGTTCCTTTTTTTTCACTAGCTGTTATAAAAATGTTCAATTTTTAGAGATGTTTCACTGTGAAACTTTATAAAAAATCGAGGTCACATGTTTCATGTCCAATGTGACACTTTTAAATCTGAATGACATTTATTGTTTAATGCTGGTAGAACAAAAGCAGCAGAAAATTTTAGTCATCAGCTCCTAACATTTTATATTTGAAATAATCCTCACAAAACCATAAAAATCGCAGGTCCCAGGATCTCAGATAGTTGAACCTAACCTAAAGATGATACTTTCTTCCCTAAATGTACTTTCAGCAACTCAGATCAGCTGAAGGTGCTTTAATGTTATGTTGTCATACTTCAAAATAAAAATCACAAAAAAGTTTCTTCACATTTAAAAGCTTCTGCTCTTTTTATCTAGTGTTATTTCACTGATTTTGACAGTTTTGTGAAGCCTTTAAAGTAATCTGGGAATGCAGTTGCATTTGCTTGTTTTTTTTAAATATTGGTTTTTAATTGAAAATCACATATAGAATATATAGAACTACCCTTTACTTCAAAAATGTGGAGAAACAGCAAAAGATGCCTTTTAAATCACACATCTATTCTAGCTGAAAGCAATATAAAGAATATAGTTAAAGGCTCAATAAACACCATGTTTTAATACTTTAATACAAAAACTTCCAAATGTGTTTTTATTTAAAACTATTCGTGCTTTTTCAATAATCAGTGTTGATATTGAATGATACATGCAGCATTTTTATTACTGTCATCACTGTAGCTTCTCAGCTGCTTCACTATAATGGGAGGAAGAGGGGGATTTATTATGAACTATTAAATACTATCATACAATCTCATACTTCAAAACGAGCTTTACATAAAACCTTTAAGGGTTTTAAATCCTTTAAATGTGTCTTGAGTTTTCTTGTAGTAGCTTTTAATCAGTTATTAAGCAGAGGTGGTGTATTTATTTAGAATTATCAGGGATAAGTTGGATCGGTGCATGCTAGATCCTTCAGTTAGTCGGATCAATTCAGTGAAACAACAAGGAGTTTATCAAAATTGTCATGCGTCAAAATAAAAGCTTCAAATATGCTTTAACCTGTTAGCAGTCGGACGTACCGCCCACGGTACATTGGATGGTTTAGGGGACTAATTGGACTGCTAAGGGGTTAAAAACCTTTAAATGTGTCTTCGCCTTGTGTTTTCTTGCCTTAAACCAGCCTTTAAATAAGTAGTAGTCGTAGGTTTGCTCTGGTGTACATTTGGTCCTCCAATCAGCGGGAGTAACTCAGTGAAACAAAGCAAATCATTTTGATTCTTAAACCTGCTGACAGCTACATAAGTATGTTATCTGCTTACAGCAATTTGCTCAAGATGCTTTAATTAAAGCGTTAAAATGTCATTTGTTTCAAAAGAAAAGCTTCCAAATATGATTTTAATATTTTTTAGAGGTTTTAAAAAGCTTCACTTTGTGTTTTCTTGTCTAAATTAATAATTTGTTTTATATGTACAGCATTTTTTAACCTGTAAAAGAACACTTCCAGAACAGCTGGACACAGCACATTTCAGCAAATTCAGTAAAAACAGGATGAGACTATTTTCATTGGCAGATTGATTCACATCTAGTTTCCCAGTGACTGGAATCCAAGTTTTAGTCATTTAATGTGATTTACTAAGAAACTAATACAGAATATTTTTGGCTTTATTGTTTAAAACTTTGGTCGTGGCATTTATGTTGTTTTCTCATCTTAAAATAGTGATAATCAGCAGGAGGGCTGGGCTCAGTTGACTTTAATCCATCTGAAAAGAAAGAGTTCATTGTGACGAAGCCAAGCACACCTCACCGTTTGTGAACAAACACGAAGCCCCGAGGGTTTGGTACTCTGTAATTTGGCTACTTTTATTCGAGCAGGGTCATTTTCAAGAGAAATTACAAATTAAGAATTCAATAATACTTTTACAAAGACATTTCAGGAAAGATTCTTCTTCAGTCATGATATCATACATAGTATTTAACAGTCCCTCTTCATTTTTTTTAGCTTAAAAAAAGAAACAAAGATGAAGAAAGTGGAATTTTTCAGTCGAAAATACAGTGTTTTCACAATTGTATAAAAGTTCCCAAATTTGGAATTTTCCAGTAGCTGGAAAATAAAGGAAAAAAAATAAAATAAAATAAGATTAAACTTCGCATTTCACAATGTTTCAAAACACAATAAATGCTCTCTTTACGTAAAATTTGCCCCTATGATCGACACCATGTTCCTTTTTACTAAAATATATCTATATATTGAAGAACTATAGTACTGTACACAACAGTATGAAATAAATAAAATTAGGAAATATAAAATGGGCCACATAAATAATGTTTTCTTTTCAACCTACAAATAAATGAAATGCAATTTGTTGTTTTCAAAAAAAAAAGAGGAAAAAATGGTTTGGTGTAATACTGACAAAGAAAAGAGGTGAGAAAACATTGCACAACATAATGTAAACTAAGGAACTGCTGCCTATAATACTGACACGGGTGCTTCAAAGAACAACGGTGAACCATTTCATCAATACTGAAGCTGGTGAAAAAAAGTAACCTTCCTTTTACACAATACGAGGGTGGCACTTGCAGAAAACACACAGGTTAAAAGGTTTGCATATAAGGCTTCTTTTTTCTTATCAAAAACACCTTACAAAGGCTTCGTCCTTCTTTTTTTTTTGACCCTCCCCAAAAAACAACATCTGTCCGTAAAACTGTATTTTCCCTTAAAATGAAGGTCTCTTTTAAAAAAAATAATAAAAAAACAAACAAAAAAATAAACGGGGGGGGAAAGCTCCTTCACACAGTCTTTGAATTTTAATTCCTTCATTTGATTCAAGAGGCCTAAAACAGTGTGGCTGGAGATGAAAACTAAAGACGACACCGTAGGTAGGTTGGTGATAACAAAGGTAATACTGAAGGACTGTAGTAGTGCAGATACTACTGCTCTTTTTCCAACACTGTATAAATATATACATAGGCAATACTTTTTATTATTTTTGTTCATGATTATAGAAGCGGAGTGCAATTTGTACAAGTCACTAGTTGTGCTATAAATACTATGGAACACAGGGGTTTTTATTTGAGGAGGTTAGCACCACACATATTTTTAGGCCTTAGTACTGTACATTTTTTGAAATGTATTCATTTATTCATTGTTCGGTTTGCATAATGCAGCTTATTTCACAAACCCAAGCCTCCCCCTCCCCCCTTCAATGCCTCCTTCTTCCTCCTCCTCCTCTTCCGGATTGATATTTGAGTCCACGTTGAGGAGTCCGTCAAGCTTCCCGGAAGCTTCAGGCACGTGCACGTACAGCTTAAAACACGGCGTTTTAAACCGAGCAGGTAAGAATACTTGAACCGAAAAGAGAGAAACTTAAAAACTTTTTTTCTTTTCTTTTCTTTTGTTTTTTTTTTTCATTAGTTTTTCTTTTTTTAAACTTCTAAAGATGGGAAGCTTCTGAAGTGTCGCCGCCGATTACACGCCATCCTCCATCGCGTCCTCGTGATCCGATTTGGTTTCCGTTTTGCCGTCCAGCGAGCTATCGTCCATCGAGTGCTCTCCGTTCTCCTCCTCGTCCCTCAACGTGTCCGGGTCCGTGTCCATGCTCTTGCTCTCCTCCTCCTCCTCCTCAAACTCGTCGTCCCTCCGTCCAATCTTTGCGTACGTTCCATCCACTTCCTTTCGCCCTGCATCTCTGATCCCTCCGTTCACCACGTCATGCCTCAGAATAGCCTCTCGCTCCGCCAGCTCTGGGTAACCCTGAGGAGTCATGCCCTGCAAGTACGCCCTGCTCATGAGCAGCTCGGTGGGCTCCAGGTGGCCCTTCTCGCGGGCCTCCCTCTCTGCGGCCTCCCGCTCCTCGGCCTCACGCTTGCAGTAGGAGTAGCGGTGGTTCATGTGCTGCGAGTATGAGCCCGAGTGCGAGAACCTCTTCCCGCACTTGTCGCATTGGTAAGGTTTCTCCCCCGAGTGCAGTCTGGAGTGCTCGATGAGATGGTGTTTGTGTTTGAAGGCTTTCTTGCAGATCTGGCACTGGTGCGGCCTCTTGCCTGCGGAGACACAAAGCAGAGAAAAAACGAAAGGGACGTGAGAGGCGTCCTGCAGCCACAGCAAATCAAACACACACACACACACACACAAGTCAGAATCAAAGCAAAATATTGAGGAAAAACTCTGATGAACTGGATGGCATGGAGTAAAAATGACATCACCGAGCATTAAATCCAACTTACGACTTTGGGCTATTTGTTTATTCAAATTGGGAGCACGATGAGAAAAGCGTGCTCGCATTCACAGGCCTACATTATGGAAATTCCCCTCCTGTGGTTGAAGCATGAAGAAACTCAACCGCGACTACTTATTTTAGGCCCTGCGTGCCACACTGATGAATGCAACATAAATAAACTACTGCAAAAGCAAACAAATAGAGAAGGCGACAAAGGGGTAAACAAACCCGAGATGGGGCTGTGGGGCGGGGAAGGCTCCGAGGGGTAACCCTGCTCATCTCCAATTGCAATTCGAGTTCATGGCGAGGCCTGGGACTATATTAGGTTTTGAGCTGGAGCTCCTTCCCTACCAAATATGACGGCGCGGCTCAGATGCCAAGGCTCAAAATGAGAAACCCGAGCTGTCCAAGAGTGCAGGGTGAGATAGTTTTATGGCTGGCTAAATGGCACTTTTTCCCCACACTCCTTCACCTAAAATATACCTGGATTCTTTTTAAAAAGCTACAAAGAAGCCTCTAATTTTGGCATTTCCCTAACTGCTGCTCACCACGTGTGGAAATATGGCTTCCTGCCTCGCACAAATCACATGACTCCCCCCTCTGACAGCTCCGAAACTGCACTCCAGGTCCAACATCTGGCACGATATTGTTAAAAACACACAGCGACGCATCAGGAGTGGAGATAACGCATCCCCGCGCCCCACCCCATATTTTCTCTTTTAAATGAAGAGGAGATCTGACGGTGGAGCCTCCCTCCCTTTTATGTCCAACCAGATAACACGAAGGCTGCGTAAAGCACAGAGCGCTTCTCTACAGATAGTGGATAAAATAAATGATGCAACTTGGTGAAAGAGGATCTCTGTATAATAACTATAATGAAAGACTTGTTATCGGTGCTCTGAAGCTTCTAAGCACTACTCCGCTGATGTGATCTATCGTCAATAATAGGGCCGATAAAGGCATTAGGGGGCCTTTTGCTGGCTTTACATATCTAGGTGAATTGATGTGTGTCTTTAAAGATAGCAAAGTGGTTCATACAGGAAGACATGATTGGGAAATAAATGGTACAATCCTGCCTATACCTGCAAAATTACAGAAAAAGAACACACAAAGCCTTTACTCATTCGCTGGATTTCAACCCTGTCAATGAAGAAGCAAGTTAGGTGTGGGTTTACATATATACAACTTAAGGGTTAAACAGAGAAGGAAAGAAGGAGGGAAAAGGGGGATAACATAAAAAAATATTTATATATATTAAAATATATTCATACTGATAGGATTTGGCAACACAAACATTTAAAACATAAAAAAAGCATGGGGTTTAAAATAAGGGTCTAGAACAGTATATACCTGTGTGTTCATATTTGTGTCTTAGAAGGGAACTGCTCTTCTGGAATGTTTTGTCGCACAAGTCACACGCGTACATACCACTTTCGGTCTTCTTAATCTTCTTCCGCGACAGACAGGAGTCGGGGTCTGTCATGTCGTCCAGCCCTGACATGTAATCTGGTGTACCGTCGAGCAGGTCCCCCTAAAAAGAAAAAAAATCACAAACAAAAAAAAGGGAGAAAGGATAACACAATAATGAATTTAGTGTGATGATGAGATGTTGTATATTCTTTTAAAAGTGAGAAAACAGTGAGGTGGTCACTGTGTGTGTGGCAAATAACATGACTCTAGCTTAAGCTAGCTTCATGTAAATGTTGCTAATATCTGTTGCTGACATTATTCCACATGTAATCCCTTTAAATTTTTACTTAAATTATGAGTTTATGTTCTTAATGTGACTCAAACAAAAATTTATTTATTTATAGTTATGTTTAACCAGAAGACACCCTTTTCTGAAGTGTAAATTGCTAAGCTAACTGTAAATTAAGAGTAAATATCAAAATGCTACACATTGCTCAAAGAGCGTTCGTGTTATAATCTCAAAAGGTGTGACAAATTTTTTTTTAGCAAACACAATAAATATTTTCTGAGCTGCTGGGAGTTTTTAACCCCTTTAGAAGGGTATTTACCTTAAGCCGCTGTAGCAAAAAAACTAATATTTGTTAACCCACTATCTGGTTTTAATGAAAAGTGGAGTTTATTTTATCTATAAAGCTATAAAACCTATAAGCTCTTTATAAGCAGTGTATACTTTTTTAAATGTGAAAAAAGTTTTAGTTGTTTATTTTTTTAGAATATGTATGTTAGAAATGCTAAAGTTTATTTTTCCTGCTAACTTTGTCTTGCTAGAAAAACAACCTTGTACTAGTAGTTACATTTTCAAGCTATATAATCTTTTAAGGTGACAGTTAATTATAACTAAATTAAGGAAAAATAAGGTGCCTGTGTTCATGTGCCGGTTTATTAACTCCTAATACTAATTTGAGAGAAAGCTAATGTTTATAATTTTAGTTGCAATTTCTTATATTTAGGTTTGCTATGATATATCTTGAAAAATTGTATGAAGTTTGACAAAAAGTTAGCAATTAGGTGTCATGCTAATTGCTATATTAACAGCTAAGTGTTTGTTAGCTAATTAGTATGCTTTGAGAGTGTCATTTAGCAAAACTACAAACACTTTGTAGCTCAATCTACGTTGGTGGAAAAGCTCATACTTGATACTTATATTATTTTAAATTACATTGATTTACATTATTAGCTGAATTTTGTGAGTTTAGGTCATAACTGCTTCATATTACATTAATATAAAGTTACTGATAGCATGCTAATTTCTAAACTAACTGTTAAATTTTAAAGGAAAGTCCAGAAGATCAACGCAAAAAAAGGAAGTTATTTAGTTGTGAATATCCTCTTTTCTTTAAACAATAGCTGGTGAAAGATCATAAAAATATCTAGCCAGACACCATTTGTCCACATAGGATCATTACACTGAAGCGTTCCTCCCAAACAATCACACAACGCTACATGTTCTCATGCATTTTTGATTACCAGCACATACCGGCGTTTATTTCTTATAAAACTTTCAGCTCTGCAGTAATATCACCCATCTATAACTGACAGTCTCCTCATTATGAAACACCGCTATAATGGTGTATTCAGTGTGGTCTAATTTTGTACACGAGCGTTAATTCTGCACATTCCTTTAAAATTCTCTTTTATGATGAAGATTAGTCTTAAATATGAATTGATGGAGAACAATATTATAACATTAGAGGAGGCACAGTGAGCCATTCTTGACATTGCAAACTCATATAATGATTAAAATCAGAAGGTGCACCTTAATGGCCAATATTGAGCCACTGAAGCTTTCCTTAATGAATATGTGTGTGATAATGTGGGGACAGCACTGCACTGTGTTTTAAGAAGGGACCACTATCACTCTGCAATCAATTTGAACTAAACGCCTGTAGCTGTATTTTTAAAATCTAATTTAATAACTTAGAATAGGAAACATTATTAATACTTTTTTTCATCAAAATGGCTCCCTCTATGTTAAACAGCCTTCAGCATTCACTGGTAATGAACATGGAGACTGTGCATTATTAATCCACATGTAGAAGCTCATTTTGGCTTTGGCTCTCTTTAAAATGCAGCAAAGTTGCAATGGGAAATTTCAGAGAAGTGCACAGCTCCGGGGCTCACCTTTGTCATTTTTACAAAGGCCTTTCACCCATATTTAATAACAAAATATGTGAGTTCAGGCCAGCTCTGGAGGAGGACTGGAGTCGAGAGCATTAATGTACTCCAGCGGGTAAAATTTACTGTGCAGAGTGGTAACAATTAGAGCTTTAACGAGATTAAACTTTAGGGCCAATATGGGTCCTGTCATATATTTGAACCTGATGCTGTTTGATATTTTGTGCCAGTGTTTTTTTGAGGGTAAAAATTAAAACACCACTAACATTCATAAATCTGCAAATGAAACTCTGGTAGAAGGGCTGGAGGCTCATTAAGACGGGATGAGATAATCCAGTTAAAATGAAGTCAAGGAAGTAGAAGCAATCCTCAAAGCTTTTTCTTTTTCATCACTGAATGATATTACTGCTAAAACAGCTGAACACAGGCTGCACAGGCCCTCCTTTCCTCCCACTAATGACGCCTCACTTTTTCCACCCCGGGGTTGTGTCACAGCTGTTTATCTCCATCGCCTATGCCAGTTCAGTCTACCTCAGGTGAGCGTTTCACTCTCCTAACTCCTGAGTGGTTTTTTAATTAGTACAGAAATGAGTTCAGATCATTTCAGAGAATCTGAGTGAGCCTGGGGCTTTCACAAAACCACAGGTGGCTTATTTACCTGGAAACCTGGTTTCCGCTGGTACTTTCTCCTCTGCTGCATCTCGGCAAGGGTAGCTGCCCCTGCTGCATAAGTGTAGGCCATGTGTGGTAGGAAGCCCATTTGATCCATGCCCGGATAGGGCCTAAGACCTGGTATGCTGGCCTGCATCGGGGGCATGAATGTGGCGGGTGGGAAAGCGCTCTGAGGTGGAAGCGACGTGTACAAGGGTTTGGCCGCAAACGGGTTAATGCCGAAGATGGGGCTAGTGCTTTTTTCTAAGTTTCCATTGTTGGTAGAGCCTGAGAAATCCTTTTTGAGATAGGCCAAGTTCAAAGGCTCTTCGAAGTGCTCTCGGGGAGAAGGGATGCTGTTATGGTCAATGGTAATACTGTTGACTTTAGGTCTGCTTTTGACAGTCAGTGCATGCTTGGGTTCCTTCATGAGTCTCGGCAGAGACAGGTCCAGCGGCTCAGCCTGCAGGTCTTCTGAAGTCAAGCTGTTTGGAGTGTAGGAGCTGCTGTGAGAGTTTTTGGAAGAAGTGGAGGACAGATTTAGCGGGGAAGGGGTGTTGCTGCGGGAGTGGTCCAACTTTTCACCTGTGGGTTTGGTTTGGCTGCCGCTGAACTGGTGGTTTTTCAAATGTCTGAGCGAGTTGTCACAGTTGTTCACGTTGTTATGGAGCTCTGCTATGGAGGGTGATGTGATGCGGTCAGTAGGTTTGATTAGAGACAGTGGCGACCTAGCTGCCAAAGAGTCTTTTGGTGGAGTGTGGTGGTTATTTGTTCCGACAACCATATCCATGTTGTTCCTGTGCTCTAGTGGTGGGGTCCTGTTAGTGCCGTACTCGTACATCTTTCGCTGCTCAAACCACTCCTTGACAAATTCCTGAGGAAGACCGACCGCTATGGAAATCTTGAGCAGCTCCTCCGAGTTGGGCTCCATGTTCATGGCAGAGTATGCCTTCAACACAGACATGTGGTCCCTGTAAGGGTTAAGAGGCCCAGTGAGTACCTTCTCAGACAACATGGAGGAGGGTAAGTGAGTGTTCTTCTCCATGAATATCCCTGGTTTATTGGGCATCAAATTCTCACTGGGCTGCAGCACAGCTTTGATCTCCTCGTTCATTTTACACAGGTAGCGTTCGTGCTGATGCAAAGGTATTGGCCCGGGGAAGGTTTCTTTGCAGTATTGGCAAGCGTAAGGTGTAAACATGTTGTTTTCCTGCACCTTCTCATCCACACCTCCTTCAAGCATGTGGTTGGGTTTCTCTCGTTTGATATTGCTAATCTGTCTCTTTGAGTCTGTAGTCAAGCTCTGGAGGCAGGCTTTGGCTTCGTTCACTTTTTCTAATGTGTAGTCGATGATGCTTTTGGTGGCGCCATTGTGATTAACAAGTGGAAGACCGACCTGAGCCGTTGTCAGCGCTTGTTTCTGCTCCTCTATCTGGGATCCCAGCTCCTTCATGTGGGCTTTGAGCTTGGAGAGCTCTTCTGGCTTGCAGTCCATTTTCTGCCTGCACACAGTGTTGTCCACGATCTGGAGAACCTTCTGTACTTCGCTCAGATTATTCCCCAGTGGACCCGGGTAGCTCAGGAGCTGTGCTTCAAGTCCGGCCATCCCAAGATGCTGCAAGGGGCTCTGGGCCGAGTTGTGGTGGATCCCAAGTGGGCTGTTTCCCCCCACTCCTCCATTCATGAAAGGCCCAGGAGCGGCAAATCCATGAGAAGCCATCATCAGCTTGTAGTCGAAGTCCAGCGGCTCCGTCTTGATGTTCAGGTGGTTGTTGTGCTCGGCGAGGCTGAGTGGCTTTCCGTTCTCAAGCTTTTGTCGCAGCTGGGTGATGGCAGTGTTAGTGGGGGAGGCGGAGGCAGAGGTAGGGGAGGAGCCTGTCTTCATGTTGCTGCGCATCCTGCCATTGACTGCAATCAAGCCAATACACTTTTTGCTGCTGATGTGGGAACTGTAGGAGCCCGAGTGAGAGAAGCGCTTCTTGCAGTTGGGGCACTCATAAGGTTTTTCACCTGAAACAAGAAATATAGATGGTTAGCCAAGACCAGTAAACAACCAATTGGCTCAAAGGGGGGTCATGCAATTTTGCTTTTTCTCTCATATTATTTTACGGTCTATACTTTACAATATAAAATGCCTTGAGGTGGCTGTTGCTGTGAACTGGTGCTATGTAAATAAAACAGAATTGAAATTAACTGAATTGTGCCAAGATGTGCAATATGCGCTAGAGCCGGTAATCTTCCAGTATAGTGTCTGCGTTTTCTTTATTTTCTGCCAAACTGAATTGGTTTAGAGATCTTTGCTCTTTTTTTGTACTTACATGTTTTGAGTGAAAGTAAACCATTCTTTAACATTTATTAGCTTTAACGTTTTCTGCTCAGCTCAGTGAGCACACAAAGACACTAAACACAAAGGCATGGAAACCTCACTGACTACTTTTGTTTTGGACATTTTAAGCATGTTCAAACAAGTGTGATGGACATGAAATAATTTTTATTTGATTTTATTTGTAGGGAAAAAGGCTCCCATCCAATAAACTGTAGGAATTAATTGAAAAAACAAATTCCTTAAGAGTTGGGGCACTGTTAAGAAAATGTAAAAGTTATTTAATTCTTCATGTTTTGCTTTGAACCTAAAGTCAATATAATTTGAAAAAACTTCATTAAAATTAAATTAAATTATATAAAATAATAAATTATAGTTGAGCAATAGGGCTTGCTAGGTAAGGATACTATTTGTTTCATGCTTGTATTACCAGAATAACAGCTCCACAGTACATGAAGTTTTGAAGTAAGTTTAATGTACACATCTGAACTCTGCAACAAAATACTCTTTGTTTAAGGCTGATAAAAAGGAAAGTTTGCAACAAGTAAACAAATAAATTCAATTCAATTTAAAAGCTTCACACACATAAGCAAATATTGCACACCCCGAGGACTTCAGTGTCCATTAACAGCCGACGAGTGTCCAAAATAAACCAAAAGGAATATCTGTGGATCCTTAAATCACTGTTATGAATATTCAAAGAGCAGGGCAGCGTTCTTCCTGCAACTCACCGCTATGAATCCGGAGGTGTTCCTTCAGATGGTGCTTGTATTTGAAGGCCTTGCCGCACTCGGTGCATTTGAACTTGCGGTTGCCGGCCGCTTGGTTGAGCAGTTGGTGCTGTGAGAGAGAGAGAAAAAAAAAGAGCGAGAGAGAGAGAGAAAGAGATTTAAAAAAAAAGAAAAATGTACAAACATGGAGGGGGTAAGAGTTCAGTTCACGCTACAAGCCAAATGGCTCCTGTCGCAAACGAAGCATCTTGGCTTTCTACTCCCACCTCCATTGAGCAACTACAGGCAGCGGCGGCGATAACAGAGAGAATCACATACCTTTTAATTTCCTGGCTGCACAGCCAAAGGAGGCCTGCCTTTAGAATTTGGCAGCCCAGAAAATAGAATAAATGAAAAGAGTCTTTTTTTAGAGCGTTTCTCCTTCATTAGAGGTGCCGATGTGATCTACTTTTCATTAATTTGGGGTCTAATCAGTCCAAAATGTATTCAGAATCATCTGTGAGCTCTCTCTCGCCAGCATACCTGTATTCACACCATCTCTGAATTTTACTTTTTTTTCTTTCCTCCCCTCTGCAAATGTGTTGCAGTAATTAGGTCGTCCCCCCCCCAAAAAAAAAAAAAACAACAAAAAACCCTCAAATGTCTCTTTAATAATCTTGGGATAAAGAAGCCAGCACATGGGCCCGGCCTTGATTTTGCTGTTCAAAAAAAAGGTAAACATCAGTTGCAATCCATCACATTTGCAATTCAAACAGAGCCTTCCTCTCTTAAAAAAAGGGAAAGAAAAATCAAAATATAATAATACTCAGCAACAACAACACGGGGTGTGTAAACCTGGCTCGTCACTCACAAAACAATTAATTCCAAGTGGGAGGTAGGGATGTTAAATGGTTAGTAAATATGGATAAAAGAAAAAAAGAGAGAGAGACACATTTTCTCTGAGCTTGCTAGGGGGAAAAGCAGAGCGACTCCCTCCTCCCAGTTCAGCCTTGACAAATGCTGGGGTGTGTGCTGACTCTACCCACATTCCTGGGGAGACAGATGGTGGCGCGCAGGACACTGGGAGGACTGGGAGGAATTGTTCAAACAGCCCCAACCTTCAAAGATCAAGCAGGGAGAGTCGAGGCCCCGCCAAGCGCCGGAGAGGGACCCCACCGCTCGTATGTTGCTGAGTTGCATAAACAAACAGCAACAGCTGCTTCGCTACCTCCGCCCCCACCTCCATCGCCACCGCCACCACCTTCCTCTTACTTCCCCCTCCCTGAGGACCCCTGCCCGGTAAAGTTTAGTCTCGCCACCACTGCTAATAAGACACAATTGCTCCGCGCTCATAATTGTGAATGGCACTGGCGAAAACGCTCCGTCTCTCCTTCATGGCTTGTTGTCTGTGTGAATGCCACCACTGCTGTTTGTGGGCGGGGGCCCGACTGGATTGGACTGGATGTTTGCATATGTATAACCTCTAATTAGTCATATTTCAGCTAATTGCTTAAGAGGAGGAGGAGTATTAACGCTTGTAAACATAGCAGACAGAACGGAGCAGCACATGTTTACCTATCAGAACATTACTCTTTATGTTAATCTGACTGCAGCTCGGCTTGTTGTTAATTGCCAAATGTACATCTAATATAAGCAAACAGTGGAGTTTGTCAGTGTCGATAATTAGAGGACAGGCTAAAAAAAAACAAGAGCGCCACCTAGGGAAAGGAATCAAAATGAGTAAGACATCACCTCAATCTCATCTGGAGGATTAGCACTTAAACAATCCAGCTCATTTACAAATCAAGATAACCGGCTTTGTAGAAGGAGCCACGGTGCTTGAATAGGAGTCTTTGGCCATTGACTGGACTCCGGAGGGGAGCAGCAACAGCATTGTAATATGAGGATTGGGACAGCGGCTCAGTCGGCCGGCCCATCTGCTCACGTTTACACCCAGCTGGTAGATCAGGTGAAAGTGCTGGCTGCTGACATCTGATCAAATCAGCCACAGTCTGAGCCTGTCATCCTCGCTTCAGAGAGCACAACACAACACCCACGACCTGGGACTGAACACCGCAAAGCATCAGAGTACATGATATCATCTGTTATTGGCTGAATGGCTCAGTTCTTTTTTTATAACTCTACTTGCATCACAAGGTTTTTCTAGCAGAGGAAGTCCAAGAGAAAATTGGACACCGAGACGTGACAGATTATTTTTCTCCAAACGGGGCTGACCCATTTGAGCTGTAGTTTCTCTGTATGTAAAAGAAAAAAGTCTAACATTTTATAATAAACATTGGTAATAAACGATAAATTGGTAGTTACCTTTGTATCTCTCCAGGACCAATTCATTCTTGATTTTTCACTTAGTTTGGCAGACAAGTACATTACATTCATTTTGGACCCCCTACATTAGTCTAGTTATTATTACAATCCGCCAAGTTATTACTGCTATTAGTTATTAGTAAAATGTTTAACTAAGTTTCTTACTGAGACCCATACATAATCTGATTACTGGCATGTCTACAATAACCATTGCAACACAGATTTACATCAGTTTTTCTACTTTTAACAAACCACGAAATGACAATATTATTTGCTACTTAATAGTTTGTGTTTATAGATGGTTAAACATCATTTCCTGTCTTACTCATTGTTTGGTTTTGTTTGTAGTCTAGGTTCACATTAGGCTGGGGAAGGCTGTTCAGATCAGGGTTGACTGAATCTGTGGTTTTATAGGTGAGCTAAGAAAATTAGGAAAGTAATGGTAACATTTATTAATCATTAATAGCTTGTTATATAATCAGAATGTAACTATTACAGAATTGTATTATTTATGTAGTTAAAAATAATAAATTAACAAATTTTTACAAATTATTAGCCAATGATTTCAGGGTGTCTGAGTGAAAAAAAAATTCTGTTTTTTTTTTTTTTTTTTTTTTTAAAGGCCAAACAGCTGCCTGCTAGAGGTCTCTTCCTGAGAAAAAGGGAGTTTCTTGTCCCTACTTTCATCAAGTGATTGTTCATAGGTGGATCAATGGATTGCTGGCTGAAGTGTCATTAACTCATAATACGATACAGTTTGGCATGACTGTTGCATGGCGCTGTTTACATGTCTGCATAAGTGGATTCTTTACATTTAGAGGTTAAGTCGCAGTTTTTAATAAAGCAAAAATTCTTCAATTATAATTATCCTCCGAAGCAAAAACATCAACTTCATCTACTTTGAAATTTACTGCTCCGATTTTAGCTTACTGAGAACTTATAATTATCCCCAAATGTGCAAAAACTCTGAAAGCGTGCAATTTTTTTTTTGCCACAATCTATCTCAGCGCACATCTTCAACTAAAAGCTGACAAGCGAGTTAAACACCCGTAACTGCTGGATGCGTTTTCACCTCACAGAACTTTAAGGTGATTCATGCTAACTGCCAGCGGATTCACATTATATTTCAGACGTACAGGATATAAATCGTGGGAGAAAAAATTTAAAGTATACACAGATGTTTATGCAGTGCATGAAATTAGAAGTGGAGGGGGGTGGAGTTTGATGGAGTGCTACGACTGCGGGCTGCACCAGAAGAACATTAAAGGCCAGGAGTGAAGTGAAGTTAAGGAGCTGATAAAAATTTCCAAATTGGAAATTAACACAATCATTCGATCGTGAACACGAGACTGGAAAATCATATCAGGGAGGGCCATCAAAAAACCATTTAGGGCCTCAATTAAAGTTATTACCATTAAAGGATCTGCATCTTCAAAATGCCATGAAAAATTAATAATGATTGCCAATCAGAAAAAATGATCTCCCTTCTCTGAGGGATCGGGGCACATTAGAAATGAAATGAAACAGGGGACAGACAGAGGAGGAAAAGGAAGGAGGGAAAAACAGGAAGAAGGGGATGGGATGAGGAAGAAGAAGGAGAAAAAAGAAAGAATATCCCCCTCACCTGATCCCTTGCAGGCTTGTGTGTGGCCATATGCCGCTCAAGCTGAGTGCGGTAAGCAAACGTGTAGTTGCACAGGGGGCAGGCGAAGTTCTCCTCGTTCTTCTCATGGCGGTACTTGATGTGCTCCTTTAGCGATGTCAAACGCTTGTAGCCCCGGTCGCAGTAGGGGCAGGTCAACAGTTGGGCGAAGGCATCTGGCGTTCCAGGTGGCAGGTCTGCACAGGAGACAGCGGGAGGAGGAGAAGGAGGGAGGAGGAAGGGGAAAGGAAAGCGGGCCAAAAGGTCAGCGAATCAATGGCAACTAACGGGCGGGCTGCCCAGAGTGGTATGGGAGTTATCTCTGCAATCTGCTCCACATGAGAGTCACAGTGTCAGGCTGGCATCCGCTGCACTACGACCTCCTCCCGACTCACACACAGCACTCCCACTCGTTCTCACTTTCCTCCACATAGTTACAAACACGTACACGGTACTGGATGCACACACTATTCCACAGATAGTCCGAATTTCTTTAAACAGCCCTCATTTTCTAGTCCCCCCACACCTAACCACCACCGCTGGCACGTTCATAGTGTCTGTAGCGTGAATCACAATCCCGCTCAAATTCAAGCCCCCCTCTTCCAATTCTTTCCCTCCGGGGAGCTTCGGAGGTGTGCTATCTGATTTCAAGCCCCTGCCCAGCTGTTGCTTAAGACTGTAGGTAAACACCCAGGCATCCGGCGAATCTGTGGGACCAACAGCTGCCCGGTCGTGTCAGCGAGAAGACTTTTTCTCCCCCTTTCTTTTCTTTTTTTTTTTAAACATTTGCCAGGACATTAGCTGAGCAAGCACCCTCAGTTACTGCAGCAGTTATGCTATAAGAGTAGGCACATTTAAGGCTGGATATCCTTTAAAATGGTCTGGAGTAATAGGAAAGGTTTTTAAATGCATCGGTTTAAAGAACGTTTTAAGACATTCTTCAAGTTTAAAGGTTATTGTGGGTGTCTTTCTGCAAAAAACATCCACCAAGCTGCTGGCAACACATCTAGAGTTAAGAGCAGGGTTTGGGTTAGGTTTTGTCTACTTGGACAACCTTGAACTGAAAAACTATGATGCCAGAACAAATGCATGAGGCTTAATTTAAAAGATATCATATTATCCTTCCTGAAAATATGCCTGTTTAGCCCTGTGAGGTCTAACCCTAAACCTACTTGTATTTTAGAGGAAAAAAACTTTAATAGATTTGATGCTTGCCATCTAGAAGGATCCTTTTTGGTATTCCATGATTGTGAACATTTGGAAGAACAATTAAAAAAACATAATGACAAATTCTGATAGGTTAGGGTTCGGGTTGGGTCAGTGCCAATGACCCCAATGACTTAGACTTTACTTTCTTTTAACACGTGACTAAAAATAACCTTAACCCTGACTCTGAGAGGTTAAACCTACCTGTAACTCTTCCTTAACACAGGGAACCATAGATAGGTTATCAAAATTAGGTCAAACTTAGCATCAATTCCCAATATTTTCTGAGTCATAGCTGTTCTGGGTTACATCTTGTCTTGTTTCCTTCCTCTCACCCTAATCTTTCGACCCAGATCCTTCCTACAAACCCTTGGACAGGACCCGTACCGTTCTCCTCCGGTCCAGTGGCTTCCGGTGTGCCCAGGCGGGACAGCTCCTCGGGGGCTTCCGGGTAGATGATGGCGGTGTCGCCCCGCTGCAGGTACTCGGCAATGCTCACCACGTGGCTGTCGCTGTCATCCAGCTTCCGCTTGGCAAAGAAGTCCTCCAACTCTGAAGTGCAATCGACGCTCTTGACTGAAGTGACAGAGAGGAAGAGAGAGAGATGGAGATTGTGAAGGAGGAGACTGAGGACAGGAGGGTGGGGGGGAGGCGAGAGGAATAAATTGGATTCCCTTCGTCCCCAGAGAAATGTCTTACAGGAGGATATTGGGAACATCTTGGTGGAAATGTGATGAGGATAGCCACCCTAAAACATTACAGCCGTGCTTTGGGGAGAATGCATCTAAATTACTGGGCTTGCTTGTCACGCCACGTCGGCTAAAACAAGAACTGTAACTTAATCCGAACAAAAGTCAGGAGATAAAGGTGCTACCATGAGCCTTGAAAAAACCTTCACTGACCTAATTTACTCAAATAATTTTTTAAAAAAGAGCCTCATATACATACACATACAGACAAGCCTGGTTTAATCAGCAACAGAGCCACGTTTCTCAGTATCGACTTTCACATATAAGGTCAATCAAGAGGCTGTGGCTTTTGTTGATTCTGTGTTGAACAGATTACCAGGGCCAAACCACAAAAAGAGAAGAAAAAAAAGGGAAAGAAAGGGCGAGAGAGGAGAGAGAGTGTGGGGGGTGGGGGCGGGGGGCATGCTTTGCCATAGCTGAGCTGAATGAATCTTAAGCCAACCAAAGTGCTGAGGCCACACAATGCGTTTTCTCAAATTATTTCCCAGTCCCTTCTCTTCAGGGAAACTCTTAAGCTGCAGCGTGGAGATAGCTGCCTCCTAAACAACAAACCGGAGCAAAAAGAAAATCAGCAGCCTTCATTAGTCAAGGGGATGGCCGACTTTCAAAACATCACACGTACGCGCGCACACATACTGTTTACAACCTGGAGAGATCCTGGAGGATGTTTGGTGACCAAAATTTTTTTTTTTTTTTTAAATCCTCACAAAACAAAAACAACCAAGTGACATCTCATCAGACTTCACCGCCGTTAATTAGGCTTTTAGACTGCAAGCCAAGGTGAGGTTTAAAGAGCGATTTGTTAGACCGTGATGACTTTGCAGGCCAATTTGCGAAAGGTCAAGGTAGTAGATATTTGGATGTCAAAAATGGCACCGAAATGTCATCGGTGCCAATGGATCGCTTTTGATAACCGTGATGGCATAATTCTCAGTCTTCTCATTAGATGATTCTTTGTAGCTTTGGAGGAAGTGCTAAGCTAATTGTGATGATTGACTGATGATTGACTGGGTGCGGCTCAGTGCAAGCAGTTCCTGGACTTAAAGCTGAAAAGCTTCAGGGTAATGAAACATGGTTTACTTTAACATTCAGCTGATGCAAGCGACCAAGCTTCTATCGTCAGGAATAATAAAATGAGGACATATTCTGGATGAAAAAACATACATGCAAAGTGTTTCTTTAAGGAGAAAACGATCAGCTTTCTTTCCAACGGACGAGGAAATCACCTGGATCAAAGTGTGCTTTGGCATCGGTGGACGTGATCAAACTGCTCATGTCTTTAAATGAAATCACATGTGATCTAGTGGCGGGGAGCTTCCACAGCGGTGCCACAGTATTGTTTCCAAAAGTCCTTTAAATGGAAAACATTTGCTGGGCTTGAATTTCCAGAACATGAAGAAGGGGAGAGGAGAAAAGAAAGCGAAGAGGAAAACACCAGCAGAAAGTAACGGTAATTAAAGCTGAAGGGAGGATTTTGATTCAGGGCTGCATGGCGTTCTGCGGGGCGAGTTCGGTTTACCATAACGGCGTCCGAGGCCAATTGTCAGGGTGGCCAGGATGATATCATGGAAGGGAGGGTATGTGGCGACAAATCAGCTTTGGTGGCTTAATGAAAAATGGCAGATCGTGTTCGACTCCACCAGAAGAAACACTTAGCTAACTGGGAAAGCTGAAAGTAGCATGTGTAATCAATGGTTATTAAAATCAAAATCACTTCAGCTGCCTATAAACATACACGGGATTGCCTCAGTGATCACTGAGTCAGCAGAGGAAGATTTCCTTTTAATTACAGCGCGCAGTTTGTGGATATGTTTGCTTTGTTCTGTTCAGGAACTCCTCCAGGGACTGCAAAAAGCTAAAAAGGCCTGTATTAACTTATTAACATTCACCAGGCCACCAGCAACCCATTTAGGTTTGATTTTTCTTTTATCCACATGTTAATTAGGCAAATTTTCACAAATTGGAAACCCATAACTCTAGCTCTAGATCAGTTGGCAGTGACCTAGTAGATCTTAAGAGATTCAGGTTCTGTGGTTTAGTGGTTATAACTATTACAACCTTTTATGTTACAGCCAAATTTAGTCTAGTTTTAAACCCAGTTTTGACTTGGAATTAGTCATTTTGACCCCATCAGTCTTCAGCAGGTTATCAATAAACCGTTAAGGTTAGAATTACAAACTAGTGACCCTTCAAATTAATCAAATGTCTTACATACATTTTGGCATTACAGTTCTTCTTTTTTGAGATTATCCAACTGAGTATCCAAAACAGGCAGAAGTGCCATCAAAGGGCTGGATATTAGCTGAAATCCAACCCCACTGAAACAAGCCACATTCAGCCTGATGGCACATCAAAGACCTTCTAACCTCTTAACATCCACCAGGTCACCAGCAACACATCTAAGAAGGAGAGATTTGTTTAGTTTCAATCACTTACTAAATAGTCAATTTTTCATAAACTAGAAACTACAAACATATGCTTAGCCTAACCCTAGATCAGTAGTCGGTAGTTTGGGGTCTTTAAAACGTACAACTTTAGCTGAATTTGAACCCAGTGTTGGGCGTGAAATGGTCATGTTGAACAGTTAACTTTCAGTTTGAGAAGCTCTTAACATCTACGAGGTCCTACAAGTTGCAGCTGAGCTGCTGGAAGTAAGTTTTTAACCTCTTAACATGACCTGCTAGATGTAAAGATGGTAATAGACAGTAAGAGAAAGAAAACTAAAATATCCAATCCTTGACGTAGAGGTAGAGAACCCTTACCCTATATTTCGGAGTTAAAAACAAAGGACTTCCATTATTATGTTTATTTGTTCCAATAGGTTAGAGTACTAATCATCAACGATAGGGCTGTCAGACCTTAAAGACTTGCAGACTGACAAAGAAACATGCACGTAAGGCACCAGACAAGAATGGCTTAATATGAAAGGTTTGACACACATACAGCAAATATCTGAACTCACCTGTACCGTTTCCAACTGTCTGCAAAGTGGTATCAGGCCCCAGGGTGTCAAAATCATCTTTTATTTCATCTGCACAAAAACAGAAGAAGAAGAAAAAGCAGAGAAGGGAGGGTGAGTACCTCGATGTACCATGCACGCTGACAAACGCTGACAATGAGGCCTTTAAGAAGAAGGTATGGTGAAACCAATAAAGGCACCGCTGTGCATCGCAGTGCACCACGGCTTTATTCAGCATGCTTAATGAATGCTATCATCTGAGCCAGACAGAGACTTATTTACCTTTAACGTGACAACAAGCGGCGGGGGAGGCGAAGAAAGCTTCAATCGCCAAACAGAGCGATTAAATACAACACGGAACACATCCACCTGAGCAATCATAGAGCTCCAGCCAACACGCAGGCTGAGCTTATTACTCCCCGGCTGTGACGCCGCTGCAATCCGCTGCATGCAGGATCACGCTTGTTTTTTATCATATGTCATTTTGGTGGATGCTTTTATCCAAAGCAGCTTGGAGTATTGTGAGCGCGCACATTTTTGTGATTCACCACAAGCCCTGGCAGAGACTTAGTAGTGCCTTGCTCCGAAACTAAAAGGAATACAACCCTTAACCACAAATTAAGAGTTTTACTTGCACAAACATTTCTCCCGGGCAGAAATAACCTCATTGGTTGGGGTAAACCTCAGGTGGGTGGAGTCAGAAAATAAATAAATTAATGTTTTCTGGTGAGGTATGAAGCCCGACAATACAGAAAAACATGTAAAACAGGCGGAAACTATTATTTCAAAGCCTCGCACACACGATACTGAAGGGGAAAGTGCATTTTTAACCAAAAAAAAGACACACATTTGATCTGCCCTATTTACCACTTTTCCAGGCCTTACAGGCCTTTGAATATTCCTTATTCTACAGCAACCTATCTGGATTGAAAGCCTTTCATAAAAGCCTTTTATTTGAAAGTTATCAAGCAATATTCCTCAGTCTCTGGCTAGATTTTAGGCTCTAAGAATCTGTGGCTTTCCTTTTTTGGCTCCACCTACTCAAGCCTGACCTCAGCTATTCAGATTATTCCTTCATCTCAAAGAAACCCTTCCTCGGAGAAATGTTGGTTTAAGCAGGACAAGTTCTTACTGCCAATCAGGATAATGGCTCCCGGTCTGTGCAGACGGGGAGATATTGCCCTGGCACAGGTGAGGCGACAGTAAATAAAGGGTGGATTGACAAGCTCATAAACAAACCCTCTTTTCCACCTCCACCTCACGGTCGACAGGAGGACAGAGACTTGACAATCAGCTTAAGAAGTCCCTGGTCCCTCCTTCCTGCCTCGTCAGTAAAAATTAAATCAAGGTGCTTCCGAGAACATGAGGCCTTTGTCTTAAAATAAAAAACAAGAACAAAAAACCTGCATTGTCTTCTTTTCACGCATCTGTTCTTGCTCTGCTGCTCCTGCAAGAAGGTTACAAGCGTTGCATTGTGAGCATTTTTAATTTTTTTTCCCAGATGACAGCAGGATCCGATGTATCGGACTATCCCTTGGCTATTAAACCAGGATGAGCGCCTACATAAGAGCAACCTGGCTGAGATAATACAGGAAAGGTGGTGGGTGTGTTGTTGATAATAATGTTATCCTGCTTACATTGCTTTGCACAAAAGCCAGAAGCAAAAAGAGTTTTTATTTGGAGTTGGAAACAATGGGCTTGATCGTTGTGGAATGCTTTCTAAGGCTTGCAATTCGGGTTTGCTTGAAATTAGAGATTTGGCTTCTGCGGTGAAATGATAAATACCCCTGTCAATGGCTTCAGAGAATAATGACAGACTCTTCTGCAGGGGTATGTCCTAGTTTAACTTTCCCCATGCTGTACATTTGATTGCACGTCTGCCAAACAGCATCAAAACCACAGTCGCACTATGGGAAAATAAATGGGTTTTAAAGAACATAAATTAAAGCTACAACAAAACAAAACAGATTAAAAAAAATACTTCCACCACAGATTAAAATATACCCACAAGTATCAGATATCAGAATGTAGAAAAGCCTCCCCCCACCCCGTCCACCCTTTTGTGCTTAAAACTCCCTCACATTTCTGTGTCCTCGTAGGCACCGTGTTTGCGTTGGGTAATCAAATTTGACTGCATACTTTTAGTCTGACGCAAGGGGATGACCAGTGGGATTTACTGGCCCTTCACTCTCCCCTATTTACCTTGGAGAACTTTTGTTATCTGTGGTCTAAAGGGAGGGACGGCTGCTTCCAGTAGGAGGTAGACTAACACCACATACACCTCTCTGCTATGGCCTCTGGGACACTTAAATACATAGATCCATGCCAGTGCTGAGCTACATTCAAATGGGACAAAGTGCCATTGCAGTGAGTGACAGTGGCTCATTGCTCTTTTTAACTTTTTCTGTTTACATATCGCACAACCCTCTCTCAGAGAGACTCAAATTAGTTTCCTTGTTTTAAAACTGGTACTAAAAAGGCATTACATTGAGTGTAATGCCTTTTTATTCTATTTAGCGATGTATTTATAACAATTTAATCATTATGTTAAGTAGTGCTTTTTCCCCCGACATGACAGGGATCAGTAATAACTGTTACTCCATGTTGTTGTCTAGCTATTTCATTTGTTAATCCACATTTTTAGCTTGCAATTCAAAGTGACTGCTAGCCATACTGTTAAATAAAGAATTTCCAACTTTATTTCCAACCAAAATTTGCAATTTTAGTTCACTGTTTTAAGTGTATATCCAAAGAAACTATGGGCCAAACTGGACTAAAACCATGAAAATATCTTTAAGTCTCTTAGCTATTTCAAACAGTTATCTATATTTCTAATACCCTGGCAGCTTTAAAATCTTCATTTCTCTATTCATAATTTTAAGTCTTTATTTCAATTGTTATTTATACTTTTACTAAAAAAAAATCACTGTCTGTAAATTCTTAATTTTAGCTACCTATTTCAACTGTTGTCCACAATTTAAGCTAACTGTTAGCTATATTATTAGCAAAGCTAATAAGCTAGCCAGTTCAATTATATTTAGTTTGTAAAATAAACTGTATTTTCTCGTTTTTCATATTAGCCGGGCTGGGCACAGAATATAGAAACACGCCCTTGGCAATGGATGGGAATTATGATTAGTGTCATTGGCTGGGAATTGCTGCCTTAAACTAATAAAAATGTCCAACATTAGTGTTATTAGCTTCTGTTTAGAGAAGAATTCTTAGAAAAGTGAGTTTATCCTTGAAAGGGAGCTTAAAAATGTTACATTATGAAAACAAAAACTGCAAGTAATGTCAGAAAAGCAAAAGAAGAGAGGCATCTGATTTCTGCTGGATCCACTTATACCACAAATATGTGCCTATTCTTGGTCATGGAAAGCGTCTTGGATGAAAGTGTCCGCTAAATGGTGGAAAAGTGTGTTTTGTTAGCAGTAAATCACTGAAGACCTGAGGCGGTAAGGTACACACCTCCTTGAAGAGTGATGTTGAGGTTTGAGAGCCGACTCTGGACTCAGGAGGAGTCCAGACTACCTTTGGCCCGACTGTAATTCCACCTATTTTCATAGCAGCTCAGATGCTGTTTATTTTGAAAACATTCCTGTTTTTATGGCCGGTCACCGCAGTCACAGGCGCTTTAAAGTTCTGCCTTTGTGCATTTAGCCTCATTTATCCTGAATCTGTCATGTTTGAGTCAAGCGCCTAATAGTTCTGAATCTCGGAAACAAAACAAAAGTGGCAGGATTAAAGGTTTTAGAAGGCTAATGCAAAATGGGATATTTTTAGACTTGTCAATGGCAGATACTCTGTTCCATCGCTTCAAAATTGAGCATTTAGCAGCCAAAGAACACAGTGTTTTCCTCTGAATTTTATTCTTGGCAGGATGGATAGGCATCTAAAACGCTATGGGAAAGTCCTGGACTGCAGTAGGTGTTTAAATGACAAATTAATAACTGCACAACTCGATAGATGTGCAAAGAAAACAAGAACCACTGTTTGATCGAAAACAGAAGGCCAAATTTGGCTAAAAAAAAATATTTTTTCGTTTTGTTTTGTTTGCAAACAACACAAACATGAAGCAAACAGCGCTGCTGTCAGAAATCCCCCTGCCCCCCCACCGACGGCTGGGAGAAGGGGTTTAAAAAGGGCAACGGAGGAAGACAGGTGATTTATTTGAAAACGCCTGTCAGTGATAATGATGTCATGCTTTCCAGCACATCATGTCCAGCCTCACTGTGGGATTAAGGAATGTCAAGGACAATGCCAGACACAAGACTCTGATTGTGCGGTGGAATCAGACGAGGCTCTGCGATAAACTTTTTCTTTCTTACATGCTGTAGTTGTGTCTGGGAGAGTCACCTCGGCTGTTTTTGCCCCGTACAGTTTCTATTTGGCTCGAATATTCCCAACCCTTCCCAGGACCTTCATTCAATCATGCTTCCAAGACCTGTGCAAAAACTCTCGATAGGGGAGTGACGACCAAATCAGTCCGAGTAGGAAGGAGGGAGGGTGCTAACTTATCTCAGGCCTGAGTTATGTGCTGAGGTATCACTGTAGACACTTAGGCACCGCGGATGTTAAAAAAAAAAAAAAAGAAAAAGGCAGGCTGGGAAACACAGCACCCGCAAGATTGGGAAAGAGACTCCCAAACGCTCTAATGAACTTGACTTGCTCTCCGAAATATGTCAGACGCTTTATCACACAAGAAGCATATTATCTGGGAATTGCAACATAGTTGAATTACAGACATTATGGCACCGCAGGTCTTTATCAAATAAACAATTACCGTGTGCAATGACAGCTTGTTTATCCTTTATCTTGATTTATTTACCAAACTGTCTTTTCTTTCTTCCACCCCTTAAGGAGGCAATATGAACGGTTATTTAGGAGAAGTGAAAGTTGATACCCGCTAAGTTTTTCCCCCCCTTATCCCTAATAAATGTGCAATTTTCCCCCATATTAAAATTTAAGACTGCTGAATGTTCCCCCGTTTTTCGGCACTGTGCACAGCTAGTTCATTAGCAGAAATGAATAGCAAAGCCCAGCTCATTTAAATGGGCTGTCTTACATGACTTCTCGCCATACTCTGTTCCTGTCACATGCTTCCAAGAATCATTGACTCTTATTATACATGTAAATGGCTATCATAAAAATAAAAATTTCATTTAAGATTGTTAATGACTTTTTGCAGCAGTCTGGCTTCCTTTAATGATTATACCCTGCCCCCTAATTAAAAGTATTTATCTTTCAAGCATCTGTGACTGGGGCCCCTGCAGAAGGAGTTGCTCAAACAAAAGACAATAAGTCAGTCAAGTTGGGGTAGGTATCACCTGCCTGGGATTAGGCAGCTTGTTAGGGGCGAGACGAATTAAGCAGCATCAGTCACTGCTGGACGTTGCTGAAACACCATAAAAACACGCTAAGATTTCATTTCCTGCAGCTCACAGGCTTCTTCCCCACTCCACCTCCTCCTTATACATTACTGTAAATATTTTTTTGTTGTTTGGCTTTTCTCTAAGCGTGAACCAAATGGTCTCTGCCGCTCACAGAGAAACTGTTTATCATGTCTGTCTGCTGAGGGAGCGTCATCGGGGCTTCACCGTCAGACCTGGCTCAAGCATTGTTTGCAAAACGCTCCGTGGCGTTTGTTTAAGTCTGCTCGGGCACCAGATGGGTGGGGTTTACAGCATAAGATGATACCACAAGTGGCAGGATGAGCACACATTCACTATAGAGTATCCATGAGTGAGCTTAGTGGTAGTTTTTCTGACTGACAGCTCACCTGAACCCCACACATCTGGTAAGAAAAGCCAAGAGTTCTTATGGTTCTAAACCTTCCCAACCCCAACCCTAACTCGAAACCTAAAAAAATCTAAAATCTAATTTTTGCTTTATTAAGTCTTGGCAATCAGGGTACAAAGAAAATAACCATCCTAATTGACCAAAATCAACCAAACTTAACATTTCTTCTACAAAAAAGCCCAAAACATAGGCTGAGGGTAGGGAAGGTGTTAGTGTTACCGCCTATAAGAACTTAAACCGCAAAGGGTTAAAAGAACATGGACGTTTGCATGATTTAAAATATATTCTTCTATCATCTTCTGATATTTCTAATAGTGCAGGTCACGTTTCTCAAATAGTGGATATCCATCCGAGTTTGGAATAAACACCCCCATATGTTTTCTTTGTCATTTCAGGCAACAGATTGCTGCCTGTTTAGGAACCTCAGTGGGCAGATCCACAACTGTTCTAGTCAACAAAACCTAGACTGAAAGCCAGGCAGAATTTAATTAGGAAATCATCAATTTGCCTTTTTGCCAGCTTTACAAGCTCAAGAAAAATCCAGCACAGAGTTACTTTGGGAAGTCACAGAGCTTATCCGCGATCACAACATCAAGCTGATGCCATTCTACACATCTGACAACTGCCAAGGCTCATTTTAAAGTGTCCCATTAAGGTTGCCTGTGCAAGCTGCTTTGCAACCCAACTATTACCAAACTCCTACAGTTGACATGACTGAATTTACTTGTTCTACACTCACCAGTACCGTCCACGGAAGCACTCAGCATGTCATTGTCGGGCCAAATGTGCTCCACGCCGCTGTCCCTCATCTCGTCGTCATCGTCGTCCTTGTTCAGCAGGCCGTGTCCCTCGATACGTGGCGAGACCTCAGGGTTGGTGAGGCTGGCCGGGCTGCCGGTTCCGTTGATCAGAGGGTCTTCCTCAGACACTGGCAGCTTGTCTTCCTCCTCCGTCTCTGATCCGGTCTCCACCACATTCTCGTAGTTGAGAGCTGTGATACAAAGGAAGAACAAATTTGGTCAGTACAGGAAAGCACGGCGGAGAAATAATGCAGTTCTCTACAACTTCTTGTGGACAGATGAATCTGACGAGGGATTTAGACCAGTTTTGGAAAACTGAGGTCTATCCGCAGATTAAAAGGATAACCCCACATTACTGCTCAATGCAAGGCGTAGGCCCCTTTTTCTTTTGGTGGGTTACACCCCAATTACAGCATCCACGGCTGGAATTTGTGACTAAACCACAGCGGTGGGCAGACAGCTGTCGAGGAGATACGAGCCAAAATAGCCACTAATTTTCAGCCGTGCTCACATGCCTTGGATGCCAACGAGCTGCACCTTTCAGGATGGCTCTGCTCCGGAGCATACCGCTCACATTTGAGATGCTCCACATAGCACGTACAATATTACAACTGTTGTTGCTATGCATACAAAAGGCTTAACCTATAGTGATTTAGATTATTCACTGCATGTAGCCCTCGGATGTCTTCACATTTGCATTGCCAGTGAACCATGAACATTAATATAAATGTTTCCTAACATATTAAAATATAAAAGCATGGCAGCGCCTTTAGGCACATACACACACACACACACACATTCAAAACTCCAACAGTAGGGCTCGCCCAGTTCCACAACACCCAGGTCCCAGACATATGCCTGCATTTCTTAAAATAGACGGCCTGTAAATAAGGGCTGTGAACTCAATCAAAGGTGGCTCTCGTGCAAATTAGTCACCACCATCAGCTGGTTCTCAGCGAGTACGCGCCACGGCGTAAATCACTGCAGAAAAGGGACGTCAGAGGACTTATTGGAGCAGTGCAGATGGATGGCATCACATGGGGACACACCTCATTGGCAGCTTGTGCAAAAATGTTCTGTGGTGAGAGCCAATCATGGGAGGGCCCAGAGTCTGAGCCACCGAAGTGAAGAGGTGGAGGCTTTCGTTGAATTTATGTTTCCGAGTCATAAAAAAAGCCTTAGCGAGCCCACAAGTCAGCAGAGCTTCGGTGAAAATCAATAGATTTATATCTTGTTTGTGGAAAATATGCAGAACTCCTCACATTGTGACCCTGCGAGGAATCAACAAGCTTAATTAAGGCGGTTTTTATGCCAAAGTTATAGCTACAAGTGTCCCTGCCTCTTGAACTCTCTGAGAATCAGGAGTGCCAACCAGATGAAGTTCATGCACGGCATTTCTGAAAACGTTATACATATCAAAAGATAAGCCTCCCCACATCTCCTTCTGACACGTCTCTGTGCGATTGACTGGTCTGCACTTGCCTTCAGCGAACAACTGCACAACAGGTGCAAATTAAAATGAAAACAGGGCTTTCAAACGTGGGAGGGGAGGCAGTTGGGGGTGGTGGGCAGGGGTGGCAGGCAGGCAGAAAGTGGGGGAGGAGATGAGGAGGAGGACGAGGAGGAGGGTGGGAGTGCGGTGACCTGCCTCGAATACCAATCGACGGAGGAAACAAAACCTTTTCAAGAGGTGTGATCACAAGGGTTTAGGCAAGTTCAGACTCAGTAATGCTCCTTGGGGACGACAAAAAAGGCAACCGAGGCAGGAGACCCACGAGTGGAGAGAGACGTTAGGAGTTCCTGGGTGGTCCACATCCACCTTGGTACAATTGATATTGTGCTTTTATTTGAAAGGTTGGATTGAAAGAGAGCCGTCTCTACCTGTCAAACGTCTAGACGTCTGAATGAGATGAAAGTTTGCCAGACTTAGAAATCTCTTAACTTAAAAATTGTTGGAATTCACCTCTCTGCGCCCCTTCACCCCTGAAGTTTTGAACTTTCCTCAGCAATGTCCCATCAGCTCTGTATCCCCCTCCTCCCCAGCTTGCCGAGGAGGGGGCAGCAGCACAGGATTGGTAGAACAAAAGGCCAAGAGGCTTGGGAAGCTATCAACCCGTTGCTGTGAACCTGATCTCTGGATGCAGATTCAATGACGGCCGGGCAGGGGCCGGCTGAATGAAATTATCTAAGGCTGGACAGGTTTTAAAGGGCCTATTCTTCCCTAATAAAAGGAGCTAGGGAGCTTCTTTTTGTTTAGCAACACATCCACCGCAGCAATGCACACCGTTCTGACTTCCCACATAAGGAATGAGGGAGCGGAGCAAACTTTTCAGGGCAGGACTGAGAACACCGGACCTCAAAGTAAAGCAAAAGAAAAAGAAAAAAAAAGAGAGAGGAGCTTTCTTTTTATTTTTGACACCAGTTTATGTCTCCTGCTGCTTTTTCTTATCTCTCGTGACGTCTTGTCCTCAAGTTTCTGAACAAATTTAAACACGGGGGCGTTGAACTGTCTCCGTGGATGCAATCTTCCCCGAACGTCAGCTGTCTCCTCCGCATTCAACGTATACCTCCAAGAAGGCAAAATGACAGTGGGGTGCTCGTCAAGTCAAACGCGCAGTATTAACGTCAAGAAAGCTGCCATTGTTTAGGTGCCACTGCTGACAAGAGCCTCTCCCTCTCTGAGCATGAAGCATCTATTGGTATTGTGTCAAGCAACAAAGTAATTCTAACCTACTAATATTTCGCAGGCAGTTATTTCATCCCCCTCCCCGAACCTCACTCTTAATCAGTCTTTTGTGTTGCCGAGGAGAGCGAAAGACAAAGAAAAGATAGTGTTTACTTCTCCAGTGCCTCTCCTCTTCTCTCCTTTTCTTACCTTAAGTGTCATCCTTGACAAAAGCAATTATGAACGACGTTTCGCGAACTGTTGCCGCTACCTGTTTGCTTTCTTCTACTCCTCTTAAGGTAAATTGGGGGGGGGTTCTTCGACTTGCGTTTTTGTTGATAATTAAAGTGACATGTGTAGCAGCGCAATTCTTGTTTAATATCAGGTTTTAAGCTATCTGACATAACCCTTTCACAGTCCCAGCATTATTCTGTCACTCACAAAAAAAGTACAGAGTGAGGACTAATATTGATTAGTACGGCTGGAAGCATCAGCAATGACAGCCTGAGAAAAAAATCAAGAGTGCAAAGGGACAAAGTCTTATTAAAATCTCATCATTTCTTTGATAAAGTCAGGGAGGAAGAAAAAAAAAAAACAATGGCGCAGGCAATTCTTCAGCTGTGACAGTTGCACTCTGCAGACACAGAGAAGCCAGTGGAATTAATTTAGTCCAACTCCAACATGATTGTATTTACAAAGCTTCAGGTTTGACAGGGAACGAGTAGCTCCAGTGATCAAAACACGCTTTTAATGTTGGAATCACAATCGACTCCTGCACACAAAAAAGAAAGAAAAAACCCCACCAAAGATAACAGTTGTCAGGCCACATGCTGCGTTCAAAGATGCCCAAAGTCACTTGGAGGAATAGGCAGCTACCAACTTGCGTCTTTGATGTTGACCGCACGCATCTGTTTGTCGGAAAACTTTTGCATATATGATAAGTCTGTACAAGCCGAGCGTGCTTGACACAGAATAAAAAGTCAAAAAAGGAGCTTACGTTCAGATCCGTTGGGCCTTTGATACCAAAGTTTGCTTTTAAAACATCTGACGAAACCTGATTAAACTCTGTGAGGTCTAAGTAATCACTGGTTATGACCACAACACTATATCTAGGCAATTATAATATCTTTTTTTTGTTGCTATTTTTCTGGCAATCAGGATACCAAAACAAAAAGGATCATTCTAACTGATATGCATCAAAAAGACTTTTTTTCCTTGTCTCCTAAACTCATCATTAGGGATTGGGCTCATCATTTAATTGTGACTTCATCACAAAAAATACATTAGTGTCTAAGTACTTAAACCTAACCCCTAAAATCACCCAAATCCTACATTTGGCCTATTTTTAACATAGAAAAGTGGTTTGGGCTCCTTAAATAATAGAAATCAGGTTGTAGCGACACATTAACTCTTTGATGACTTAGACTTTGGGCTGGAAATGGACTTTTTTGGTAAAAGGTGAACAACTTTTATTGTATGTCAGATGGAATGATTATTTTCTTTTAAATCATTAAATTATTTTCTAATTTAATAAAAGGAAAAAATGAGATATGATTGTCTACAAGGTTGCAAATAGGTTCAGAGCTGTATTTTGGGTCATTAGTCGTTAAATCTAACTCTTAAAATCATGCAAACCCATATCTGTGCCTCATTTTAAGCATCAAAACTTGTTTCTGCTTCCTTCAATATCAGATATCTGATTGTAGCATCAAGTTAAATGAAGCTGGGTTACAACAAATCAAGAACATTTCTCTTCAATGCCCAAGTACACTAGGTTACTCTATGCCATAAAATCCACCCTCCTATGCTCTAAAGCCCGAGTTCAGAGGTGTTCCACTTGCGTTCTGCCAAGAAAAACCACTTCACAATGCTAACAGGTATAATCACATTTATTTAACAATCCCAAAGTAGTCATCAGGTGCCCAGAGGAGGCTGCGCTAAAAGCCCTTCCTGCTGGAGTCTCCGAGCCAAAGAGGAAAAAGAGCTCTTACTGTTCGGCAGGCCAACGGTGGAGGTGATCGCTGCGGGGAGAATGACTAACACCCACGTTCGCGCTCTCACGCTAACCCCGGCTGACTTTTTAGTCAAGTGTCGAGGCTTAGCTCCAGGTGACACGCTCGGCCTCCTACGCCGATAATGAGCCAGGACATTCTCCCTATTGGACGATAACTGCTCGCGCTCGCTCCCTGTCTCATGAATGTGAGCCAAGCGGATCACCTGGATGGCTGGGAGGGAGATGGGGAAGCAGGGGCGCTCTGTTAGTCAGAGTGTGTCCGTGTTTGTGTGTGTGTGGGAGGGCATTAAGGTGGAAGCGAGGTCGCTGCCTTGTGGCTACCGCCAGCAGTAGTGGATTCTCGCGATGACCTTTTGTCTGCCATTGTTCCTGTCTGCAACAGTTTAAGCACTTCCTCGGGTAAGTCTTACTCCTGTCTGATGGAAAGCTCACACCTACAGCGAAGACGGTTAAATCTTATTTTATACATATCCTTAGACAGTCTTTAAGGCATTTTTTCTGAAATAAAACTC